GGCATTCGATGGGCTGCCATAGACTCCCATTGTGGAAGTAAAATAACTAGATAGTGAAGTTCCTGCAGAAACTGTGAGTGTCTTGCAATGAAAATCTTCAACTTTGGGCAATTGTTATACACACACAGACAAACACGTAATAATTATTCACTTATATTTTTATTATTTGTGTTTTGCGGTTTTATATTGAGGTTTGGGGTTTTTATAATTTACGTTTTTTATGCTTTTGGGGCAATTAGATATTTAGGGGTTTTTGAAAGGGGAATATATCTACCATTTAAAGCTTACATGGAGTTTCTAGGTAAAAGTATAAGGATTTCAGATGAAAATGTTTTGTTGAAAAAGTGAATTCTGACACTTTACACTGATGATATCACCAACTCTAGCTGTTCTCCATTAAAATAAATAGGGAAAGAAAGAAGAATAGATAGAAAAAGACAGATGAGTGCAATCTGTCTGTAATTTGACATGACAGCTCCTTGTGTACCCAGGTGGATTTGACTATCTGAATTTTGGTGGTTCTAGGTTGAGAATTGACTGAATTACAAATGTATCAGAAGAATGGATGAATATTTCCAAAAGCTTTATACAAGTACACTTCTCTGGATCAGATCAGACATGATAGAGTTGATTTATTGTTGATATCTTGAAAATTGTATGAGGAGATTGTATGAGGCACTGAAAAGGTATTATAATAATAAAAATAATAATAATAATAATAATAATAATAATATCTAGGTAGTGTGTCATGATGGCAAATCTTCAGCATCACGCACACGTCATAATTCTACACTTATTACATATTATTACATAATTTTACATTTAACCCTGGGCTAATTTATCCTTTTTCACCATACATACTGTATTTCCTGTATGAGACAAAAGAACTAATGTCCTTTTCCCCATCCACATCACCGGTATGATAAAAAGAATTATTTTGTCTCTTTCCTCTTTCCATATCGCTGGTATGGGAAAAAGAACTAATTTGTCCCATTTGCCCATCTATATTGCCAGAAATCAGAAGCAGGGAGCGTGCTATAATGACAGTGCAAACACATACTCAAAATACAAAAAAATCTTCACACAATCGCTAGATGATGACATGGTTTGCTTCAGAAGATCTAGATGGTCAGATCTAGATCTAGATTTGAGTGTTGGGGCAATTCACAGGCAGGGGAATATTTAAATTTTTGTTTGGGGCAATTACAATTTACATGTGTATTTATTTTAGGATTTTGTGGCAATTAGCAGTAATGAGTTTGGGTTTTGAGCAATTACAGGTCACAGGTATATTTACATTTTTGGTGTTGGGGCAGTTCATAGGCAGAGGTCACACAGACATTTTATTTGCAGCAATTGGCAGTCAGGGTGGTATTTATATTTCCATTTGGGGCAATTAGAGGTTATGGGGTTGGGGCATTTATTTTTTGGTTTGGGTGATTCAGCATTCAGTGGTACATTTATTTTGGATTTTGGATGTGTTTAGTAGTCTACTATATTATTTATGGGTGTAAGGATATTTAGCAGTCATTGAATTATCTTTGGTAGTTGAGGCAAATAGCAGTTGTGGGGGCATTTATCTTTGGGCTTTGGAACAATTAAAGCTCAAGGGAATATTTTTTGGGGGGTACTGGGAGTTCCATCCTAATAAGTGTTCTCAAGTTTCATGTTGATCCATCAAGCCATTGTCAAGATATGGCCTCACATACTTGTTTATGTGTTACAGGCGAACGCTTTTGAATATCAAAAAACCTTCTCAAGATCAACTGAGCCAAACTTGTTGAAGATTGAACAAATATTGGGGGCTGTGAAAACTTTTAAAGGTTTTTCAAAAAACTCAAAATAGTAGAATATCTAATATGGTAGAAAATGACATCATGGGGTCCACTGAAATTGGCATGAGTGAAGGATTAATGGGAAAAAAAGAATTTCATTCCTAGGTCAAACAGTTCAAAATTTATAAGCAACAATGTACCTTGAACTTTGATCAATGTTAGAGGCATTGAGGGGCGGAGCCCAAAATTGTTGAAAAGATTACTGGCACTATGCCAATCATTGTGCCAAATTTCATGTATTTTTACCAATTGTTTCTAGGGGCTGCCATAGTCTTACAGAATAGAATAATAAGAAGAAATAAAAAAATAAGAAAAACATGAACAAAAACAATAGGGTTCTAGCACCTTCCATGCTTGACCCCTAATAATAATAAGAAGAACATGAACAAAAACAATAGAGTTCCAGTACCTTTGGTGCTTGAGCCCCAATAACAAAATTTAATATAAATCGGATAACGGTATTCACGGATATCGGTATTGTGCATTGCATAATCCTAATAAATCGGATAACAATAGCATTGAGCATTGTGCAATTGCTTACAGTGGTTGTGCAATACTAATAACTATAAAAGTGCATTTCCAGAAGAAAATGCAGATGAATTGCACAGCTTAACCAAGTTCCTAATATGCTAATAGGTTGCTAATATGTTGCTAGAGCATTGCTAGGCAGTTGGGACAAAGACAATATTTGCTGCCCACTTAAGTTAGTTTAAATAGTTGTGTCTCCTTTAAGAGCACTAAGGACCATGGTCTTTATTTTTGTGGGGTATATATTTTTAGGTAAATTAACAGTCATGATGTTATTTATTTTGGGGCTTTGGGACAATTAGCAGTATTTATATTTACAGTCAGGTCCATAAATATTGGGACAGTGACACAGTTTTGGTAATTTTGCCTCTGTACACCACCACAGTGGATTTGAAATGAAGCAGTCAAGATGTGACTGAAGCGTAGACTTTCAGCTTTAATTCAAGGGGTTTAACAAAAATATTGCATTAACCGTTTAGGAATTACAGCCATTTTTTACAGAGTCCCTCCATT